GCAGGAATGGGAAAAGAGGGGACATAGAGCTTTTGGCACAAAAAAGAGGTATATTCATCAGAGTTTCAAAAACAGAAGGGCAAGAGGGGGGAGAAGGGAGGTAGTTTGCATGGGAATGAAAGAGCCTGTGCTGTGATTAACAAGTTCAGCCAGCAGAAGCAATTAGGTATGTATAGTACAATTGTAGACCCCCTAATATCCTTCCAGCTATCACAGTTGTAGAATAAGGTGAGACCTGGAATTGTGAAATTCAGGACTGCGAAAAAATTGAAATGCACTCAAAACTTTCCTCAGCTATTTTTTTTTAAGTTATTGGACGTATAAGATTGTTCTGCTAGATGGTTGCTGTAAGTTAAAGTCTCTTAAATAGAGCTAAACCTGACTTTTCCAATTGCATGGCTTACTGCTTTTACAAGAGGTTTGTTGTGTTGGGTTTTTTTTAACTAAGAATTTATATTAATGATAAGTAGAGCCTACTAAAATGTAATCTCTAAAACACAGTAACTGTAGCTGGAAAGCTGGATATCCAGCTCCATCACACCATGTGTTAAACACATTATGGTCATTAACTTGACACTGCAAAGATATGAATAGAAATACCTTATCAGCTCCATATTTCACAAACCTGGAGATTGTTTACAAAACACACAGGACAGTAGCTTACAAAGTTTACCAGAGCTTGAACCAACTGTAACTAATAGCAGCAGTAGCAACTGACTCAAATGCTAACCACATTATTTTTTAAAAGCTGTACCATGAAACATGGAAATATAAATGTCTACTTGATTTGGGTAAGTTTTAACTCTGGTCTTCCTGATGGTGAAATAATGAAATATAAAATCAATTCAATACAATATACACAGTTACTGAAGAATGCAGGCTTTTCATCTGCTCCTTGTTCTGTTTCAGAAGATAGTGGACTTTTATCTCTGTAAACACTGAAAACACTGTCCCAGAATGGGTATCCTCATTCTTAGAAATAATTGGTTCATTGGCTAAGATGACCTTATTTTATGATCATCACAACTGAAGTATTTTGAATTTATAAGAAAGAAAAAAGACAATTAAAAAAATCACTGCAGTATGTTTTATTTAGAAAAGGAATCCTTCAATTCCAATTCAAAAGAGAAGCTCTGGAGAGACTATCTACTTAAAAAAACTTAGTATTTTGATGTAACCAACACATTCAATATGGTTTTAATTATCCAACAAAAGCCTATGCTAATTGTATTTAGAGATTAATTCAATCACAACTGCCACAGGTTGAAATATAATATATCAATAATCCTCTAGTGAAAAAGAAATACATCAGCCAACATTTTTTTAATATTAAAATGTAAACAAGTAAGAGTGAAATAAAGTCTATTCACCTAGATAACTGATAGATTTTTCCCACAAAATACTGGATTCTCCTCACTAGTAAACAGAACTGCCAAATTTAATGTAAAAAAAAAAAAAGTGTTCAAAGAAGTAACACAAATAATTATATAGTTATATAATTACTAACCACAAAAGTTAACTTGCCTAAGAAAGCAGAATGTGTATGTAAACTAGTCGTCAAAGAGTTTATTTTAATCAAGACATCATCTTGGTGATTTGGGCTAAAATTTAAGCCAATTAATGTTTAGTATTTATTTGTAAAAAATAACTTTCAAAAAAAGCATAATATTAATGCCTATGGTTTATATTAAATGAAGACAGTGGTTTTTAAGTCACTTATAATTTGTTCCATGCCTTCATTGTGCAGTGGTGGCCTCAGCACACTGTTTAAGATGAATTTGATATTCAGATAGCACCATGGCACTAAAATTATTTTTTAACTGCTCTTATATCAAGAAGTAGAAGTCATAATAACTTCTAAAAATAATGAGAAGTGAAAATGCAGAACATTCTGTTTAAACCACATTCACTACTGGAAAAGAATGAGAAAAATAACTCAATTTCATTTGTTTTAGCTGCTACTGTAGAAGTTAGAGCTCTTACTTATGAAGACATGTCTTTCCTTATGAGAAATTTATGAAAGAAATTCAATGTATACTGTCATGACAAGTACTTTTTATGTACTTGTGCTTATGTACTACTCCAGTAACAGTAGTCAAAAAGTCACTTTGCTATTAGAACGGTTGCAAAATCAGCTAGGTGATCTGATAACCAAGAAGTGGCTTTTATTTACGATAAAATAGAGAATTAAAAGTGTAAAGTAAAATATTGCAAGTTAATTAACAATGATCACATCATCTTTGCAAATTAGGCCACTGATAATCACTCAGATGGCCAAAACATACACTAAGACTACATTTTGGAAAGACTATATTATACTTACAGCTTCTGTGCATTTACTACTCAGTTGATAGATGCATGCACAATTGCCGCTGTACATAAGATTAAAGGACATTTGACCATTCTAGATAAACAGTTCTCAAATTTTAATCTCAACAAGATTTTTGGCTGAGAATAGACAGGGTGCTTGGAAAGTTAGAGGTTCAGTAACTGTAGAAGTTTATTTTTATGCATGAATTGAGGAATAAAGATTAATTTTACTATCTTCTTATCACCCATACTAAATAGAACAAATAACTAATACCTTCATATGCTGAAGTTTATTGTCAACTGCTGTAAGATAAGAAAGATTTTCCAAAACTGCCAGTTCTTCTAATTCATCAATATTGTTATTGCTGATATTCAACACAGACAAAGATTTCTGAAGGAAAAAAAGAGAAAAATAATTTTTTTATTATTTTTCATGCCATACATGAGTCAAGTTGTAAATTCTTACAGAAAATTATCTTAAATTAAGAATTAGTATATGAAGCAGAAACATGCCAATGCATCTACCACATACTGCACACATGGTTTTATGCTAGCTTTCCATATTGTCCTAAAATGCTGTTTATTTAGGTTTTGAAGTCAAACCAAAGTAAGATTATTTCTCAATTATTTCAGAATTTCCTAGTAAACACAATAAACTAAACACATTCAAATGCTTTACAAAGTTCTGCAGGTGCTACTGACTCTACCTTTGATGTAGGAAACAAGACACTGAAACTAATGGCCTTTTCCAAGGTTACATGTTTCAGCATAGAGGTAAAATCCACGTCTGATACCCACATAGTCTCATTTAGCAGCTGGACTACACCGTTGTTCTGTCAGGCTTGATCCTACAAACCTGCCTCTGTATGTATTTCTGTTCCTTGTCTCTTTGGGAACATATGAGTTACATAAGGCACTTTGCCTTTTGTGACAATAAATAGTTATGAGAGATCTTTATATTGTAGTGAAGAAGTAAATGTGTTTCAGGCATTTATCTCAGGAAATAATGTAGTTTCATGTAAAAGTAACAAGAAGCTTACAGCTCTGGAAGATGAAAAAGGACATCTAATCCAGTGAATTTACAGTAATACCAGATACAGGACTTACCATTACTTAGAAAATGTCTGTTCTAGCAGTGGATACAGGAAATGTAACCCCCTTCTCACATCTGACCAAGATCTACACTGCAGGCAGAAATTAACAGTAGCATTCTAATACACACAGTGTAAACTTAATCTCCTTGGTCGAAGGATTTATTATGTTGTCATCATCAAAACGACACAGACAGCATTAAGAGCCAGAAACAGACAAAAGAAGAAGTAAGAGAATTCAAGGGATAAAAGTAGAATGTTTTTATGTGTAGCTTCCACAAAGATGTTACATGGTCAAGAACGTGAAGTGTTTCTTAAAAACAAAACAGAAAACCCCCACAAAAAGACCTTAAATAAAAGGCATGAAGAACAAAATGCTTGTGGCTCTAGGCCTGGAGGCTGAAAAACGCTGAACTGCATGAGGCTGCATCCTGGGAAGATCATAACTATATAACCTTCCTCTCCTTCCATCATTATTCCAATATAGAAGGAACAAAGTAAAAGTGCTGTCACAGGAATGGCTCATTTCTATTAAAGGAAAATGGCAATACATGTCATGGATTATTTAATCTCAAAACAGAAAGAATAAGAGCTAAATCAAATGTTTATGAGATACACATGAACAAAAGATGCTTTTCAAGCCCTGAACACACTTTGGGACATACAGCAAGATTTTTTTTTTTACTATACAGCTGCATCTATTAGTAAATAAAGTCTGTTCTTTTTTACCACTTCAACAATATGTTTGATATTTACTGAGCAATTCACATGTTGAAAAAAAACCTGAAAAGCTGAGTGTCATGAAATTTTGACTTAACATGACACAGAAAAATTGCAGAACTGTAACTAAATTATTTGATTGTGTTGCTATTGATACTCAGGGAAAAAAAAATAAAAATCTGTTGGCATCTTCTTTTTGCCATTGCATTCTCTAGAGAAATACAAATGACAGCAAATAAACTAATATAACAATAAAAATGGAGAATACCAATAAACTAATTCACTGCAAACTAAGTAGACTCAGATAACTAACTAATAAATTCCTACCCGTTCTTCAGTTTATTCACATTCTATTAGTATAGGGCACCCACACATTTCCTTACATGCTCTCTCTCTCTTTTTTCTCATTTGTATCCTTCATAGAAAAATAAATGAAGATGTAGAATCTGCAGGAGTCCTTATAGGAGAATTGGGATGGGAATCCCTTAGGAGAATTTGAAAGAATGCCACTAATTGGCAGAAAAGGAAAACCAGTAATCAGGGGCTAATAATTTATCTTAAAAATACCAATCTGCTGATAATGTCTCATTGGGATTCTCAAAATGTACTTACTGCCAGGGAGCTAAGAGTCCTTGGATCAAACAGAAGCTTTTCACCAGGAGGGAGATTTTGACTCTCAAGATGTAGCTCCCTTAATTTTTCTATTTTATCCAAGCCCTCTACTACAGTGATGTAGTTGCCCCCCAGATAGCTGCAGAATAGAACACACACAAAAAAAAGCAAACACATGGCCTTAATATATTAAACCAAATAGTTTTTTAAGTATTATTGAATAAAATATGGAAATTATAAGAGAAAAAGTAAACAACCTAATATGCAAATAGAGCATACTGCTAACAGATCCAAGTTTTTTTAGTGTTTTTATATATTGCTATTATTATTCATAATAATTATTAAATTACAGAAAAAATAAAGTAACCTAGATGCAAATAAATGTTAAGATATGTCATTACTTGTATCATAGAATGCTTCATCAAAAAAAAAAGTAATTAATTTTATTAGAAAATAAAAAATTAAGATATAAAATAACCTGAATGCCTACATATTTTATAATTTCTTAGTATTTTTTTTTAATAGTAAAATAAATACATAATTTTCAACTTACAGTTTTTCAAGGTTTTTCAGCGATGAGAGATTTTCTATACATGAAATACAGTTGTTCTGAAAGTAAAGGTGCGTTATATTTGAAGCAAAGTCCAAGTTCTGGATTTGACTGATTTGGTTATCATATAAATATAGAACTCTAAGATTTTTGCACAAAGAGAAGTCACCCTGAAATAAACAATAACAAATTAATTCTATGTAGAGTTCACTCACTGCCTCCCAGAAGCCACTGATTGTTCTTAATATTAAAGTTTTGCTGTATGATTTATACATGTTCAGCAAACACTTTTAAAAACTGTTTCTCCTACAAAAAAACCTGAACGTCAGTAATCGTCAGATTTAAGACTGGAATCTCTCACTGCTGTTCTGCTGTACAGAAGCTGAGAACTACAGCCATCACCGGCGGGTCCATCACATCCACTGTGACTTCATTCCCTTCCCTGCCTTCATCAGGTGGCTTTCAGAAAAGCCCCATTGTTAATGTACCCATCTCCATCAAACCTCAGTGATGGAACAGAAACCAGTTCTTGGCAAAGGAATACTATTTACACAAAAACTTGCATATCAATGTATTCTAATACACTTCCGAGTCTAAGATTCCACTCAAATGCCAAGTTTCTTTGAATGTATTCCTCTTAAATAACTAAAAGGTCACATGTTCTTCTCACAGTTTCTGTAAAACTTCCCTATAGCATCTGATGAACCAGTCCTAGTCAAATAAAACTGATCAAGTTAGTAACTCGCTGTGGTTGTGCACATGCATGGATCTGTTCACATAGAAGAAGCTATTTAATCTTCTTGACTGAAATCACACTTCTACAACAGAAATCCACCATACACAACAATTCAGTTGTTCAGCTTTCAGCGGTTTCAAAATGTCCCCAGTATCTTGAGGGGATCTGAATTAACTCTGGACTTAGTGAAGCCTGTATAATTTCCTATTGCTACACTCAAAGGAAGGAGGACTGGGTTAAGTTTGCAGGTTTAGTCTTTGAAAATTAAAAGGCCATGGATTATTTTTTAAATGAATAAGCCTCAGGGAGCAAATTTTTTAAAATGTAGGTTTTAAACTGACTAATTTGAAAAAGCCAGTCCAAATTCGTTAACCTCACTTTGCTTATATCCTGTTCCTTAACTCCCCTTTCCTTTCTCAGACCTCCTCGGAAATCTAAGGAATAAATCACAGATAGATTGAAGAGATTGTGCTGCGAGTTAGCAGCTCTTAAGTAAAATCCCCAAGACTAGAAAAAATACGGCATTAACGAGAATAAAATAAGTGCTGCACTTAACAGTATGTAATAGCATTACTACAGCCTGTAAAAAAAAAAGTATGGAATCTGATCTGCAAAATTACCAGTTCCTCATATCTTCTTCTATTCCACAGTTTGCATTATTATAAAGGGAACCATACGTAAATACAAGCCCTTAAATAAGAAACAACAAACTGTTGCTGAAAATGGGGAATTTGTTGTTTAACCTCAGACCTGAAGTTTCCCAAGAACACTACAGATAGATTTCAGTGGAGCTAGAGCACAAGCTGCCCCAGCCCTACGCTTACTGATTCAATGGCAACAGCCTGGCTATCCATGCTCTATAGGAAAAGTGTCAGGTCTAAATAATTAATTTGAAATACTCTCTTAAGTGGCTAAAGAATAAGCAAGGGGAGTTATCATTTCCATTCTGGTGACTTCCTGAAAGCTCCTGTACAATGTAGCAACTGTACAAAGTAATCAGAATAGCTAATAGTGTAGAGTTGTTTGGTTCTTTTAGTGCTGCTGATGTCTGTAATAGTTCTGTGAAATACTAAAAAAACCACTTTAACACTTCAGTTCATCTCTCTTGTGTAATTGCTTACATGGATTTGAATTGATTAATTCAAAACAGTTAGTGTACTGATACTATCCTTTTCGTCTGCTACACGGATGATACGTATTTCCACGGTTTCAGGCAAGTAAAACAAGATCTTCGCCACAGGAAGAAAAGTGTGCTGTTGACAATAAGAAACCCTGCAGACTGTTGGAGTTACAGTCACATGTTCTGATGATTTATATGAAAAGTTACAGCTGAAATATTATTTTCCACTTTTCCAATGCCATGCATTTCAAATCCATTTAAACACTTTTACACACAGGCTGTGTTTCACAAAATAACAGCAGTAATGTTTCCAAACATATGTATTATTAAGACTTAATTGCAAATCAATAAAAATATTAAAACATAATATAGCTGTTACAAAATAGAAAATTGGTTTTGCTTGTTCGGTGTCCCCAGCTATAAACAACTCATCACTTCAAAAGATTTGAGCAGCCAGGTCAAAAGGGATAAAGAAAAATAAATCTTACAATTGCATCTATGTTTTTATCTGCTAAATTCAGATGAGTTATTTTTCGCAGATGCTGTCCCGAGTCCCCTTCATTGCGGTTCTTGTGAGCAACACTTTTAGCAACTAGGTCCAGTGTTAGTTGAACCATCCTTCTGTAACAGGCCAGACTGCTCTACTGCTTCTTTCAGTAGTGTATTCCACAGGCAGTAGTTTTACAAAATGCCTTAAAAGCAAAAAGGAAAATGTTATGCTACTTGTATCCCAGATCTTCATCAAAGCTTACACATATACTTCCAATCTGATGTTTCCCCACCAATTCCCCTTCTGCTTACAGTGACACATAAGTTTTTGCTTCTGATAAAATCCTACCTCTTTCTTTGTTTTCAAACTCTCAGTGTATTAAATAACACTTCAAAGACACTGTTATATTTGATCAGTTGTTTCAATGTGCTTTGGAAGGTTGTACCCTGGTCTTTGTCTTTTTCATATAGAAATACAAGCAGAATGGTTCACAGCAGAAGTAATTCTTACATATAACTAATGACAGCTCATAACCTAATTATTAGTTAGAAAATATATCAGTCTCTATAGCAGCTTTTGTGGGCTGTGAGAAGTGGTATAAAGCTACAGTACTATTTATAAATCTTGACAGCCCTTCTGTGATGCACAAAACCATACATGCATTTATTACGCACAGTGAAAAACTTGTTTTTTTTACACCAAAGTGTCCTGTAAAGGCTCTCACAGCAATACCAACATTTCTAGTTTTAGCTCTGGCCATCAGTATAATCGCAGAATAGGGGGGAAGAAGGCAAGAATCATATTTTGAACTGGGTATGTCAACAGCCTGGGGATAAAAATACCCTAGGAAATACAACTTAACAACTCAGAGTAAAAAGGTTGCTTTTTTAGGCAGTACATATTACAACGCATATTATGTATTTTTGTCAACAGAGAGTACCCCCACATCAGTGTATCAAAGCAGCTGAGGTGACAGGAAAAAGCATCTCAATACTAAAACTCCTGCAGCCACACAAACGCAGGGATGGAGAATACTCCTTGCCAGTACTGCACTTAAGAGAAACTGATCAAAAGCAAAACTGTGTAGACAGAAGAATCTTCCTTACTGAGCAAGGCTGAAGCTCACTAGCTCCCATTTACACGTGTGGGTTTTGGTTTTTGCCTTTTTAAAAAGGCGGGAGAAGAAGGAAAGCTGAAAGGACATTGGTATTATTTTTAATTAGAAGTGTGCTTCTTGCTTGCTTTTACAATAAAAATACTTTTCAGAGCCCTTTCTTGCACCGTCCTCCAAAAGAAAAAGGAAGAG